CAGGCAAAACCGGAAACAGGGGGCGGGCCCACCCAGTTTTTTCAGGGGGGGGGGGGGGGGGGGGGTCTGTTATGGTGCACGTCACTAATACTACTATCATGGGTTTCTATGGTAAGAAAACAAAAACAAAAAAAGCCGGTCTCAAGTCAAAGACCAATGGGGAAGAGCCCGGGAAGCCCCCGCAGGGAGTCGCGCTCGGCGCATGCGAGGGCTAGTCGAGGTGTTGGATGTATTCCTCGTCCGCGTCACTTCCATCTGGGTGACAGGGTGGCTGGGGGTGTGGTCCAAGGCGATGCCCAAAGCTTGGTCGTCGCGAGGGACAACCAGCCCGCGGCTCGAGATGCCCTACGGAGTGGTACACGTGCAAGCGAGGTCAAAGAGGCGACATCTGGGCACGACCACGCAGGTTGAGGTGACAGCCGTACCAGATCAAGGGGCTGCAGCCGTCCTTCCTTGGGAATGGAGGCTTTGCGCCGAGGTTTGGTGCGCACGGTGCTGCGATCATGTGGCAAACGCGCCATTTTGGATGTGGTGGGCGGGCGACTTCGCATGGGTAAGACTTCCAGCGCCAGGTTATTGGTGATCGAGGGGTTGGCCGCCATGGCCGTCACAAAGTCGCTCAACGGGTGCCGATTCCTATTCAAGTCATCGGCCGCGAAGAGCCAAGCAAAAACGCACCATCAAATGCACAAGTCCAATCTGAAACCAGGGAAAAACCACGCGGATGGCGCGAGGGGCGATGGTTGCGAGCCTCTGGCAACAAGACCAAATGCCAGCATAATCACATACGTGGCACTGGGCTGGCGGACTTGGCCTCGGCTCAGATGATCTGGTTCAGGCTTGCTCTCAGAAATCTCTGACTTGAGGATCCGCGAGCGCAGGGCACGAGGCTGTTCATTGCCCATCCACGCACACACGCGCAAGCAGGTAGGGTTTATGTCAGGCAGACCAGCAAAAGCTCGTGTCTATGCCAATTCTACAGTGGTGCCAACACTTGGCAGAAAAAGGGGCGCAGCTCGTACCTCAAAGGACGCCATGCTATTGATATTGGCACGATTGCCCATCGACTCGATTCGAACGGGCAGCTATGCCGGGGGGCACGCAGGATAGTGTGAGCTGCCGATCGGCTGGCTGTAAGCCTGTCAACTGGCTGACGACCCAGGTACTCACTGCTTCCGTTTCATACTGCATTGCGGACGGTGGATGGGCTGCCACGGCTTGCTCCGTCAAAGCCATGGCATCCACCATGTCTTGCTGGCTGACAAGTGCACCGTTGAGCGCCGTAAGGTTTTGAAGGTGCATGATGACCTCGGCCCGGAAGTGAAGTCGCCGCTCCACATCGTTGTCTGCAATTTGTAGCTCACGAAGATTCTGCATTACGTGTTGAAGAACAAGATTTACGGTGTAAGGGTTGATGGTCAACCAAACCAGCAGCAGGGTGAATGTGAGCTGTTATCCACCGCATCTTGTTGCGCTGCTCGAACTCTTTCGTTCGCGGCACATGGCTTGGTCAGAATGTGCAGGGGTAGCGACAGGAGCGTACCGCACAAGCCGCAAGGGCCACAATTTGCTTCACGTGAGCGACGCGATTGTGCGTCACCTGCAGCACCTGGAGTTTCATGCACTCGGCTAAGGGTGAGAGGTCTTGAAGCCGATTGAAATTTAAGCACAGCACGCGAAGCTGCGAGAACATAGCGAGCAGAAGGCGGGAACAGGATGAGGAGGCACGAGGAGCTTGTGAGGCCAAGTGGGTTGTGCACGTTGATCAGTCATGCTCTCAACAACAAAACTTGCTAACACAAACCTGGCTGCATGTGGGTAAAGATGAGGCAGGAATGGCCTTGACCCTGTTTTTGTCCAACACCAGCAGCTCAAGGGCATGGAGGCCTCCCAAGCCTTCGGTGCTCCCAATATCGTTCTCATCCAGGTGCAGCACACGCAGTCGTGGCAAGCGATGCAACTGCAGTGGCTCCAAGTGTGTGATGCCATTTTTACCAAGCAAGAGCGTTTCCAGTTGCGCAAATAACGGCCCAGACGACTCTGTGGCTGAGCTAGAGCGAACAACGGTCTTGGGATCAACAATCAACCGGTCCTGAATCTGCTGTGAGACGCCGCTGCGTCGGTGGTTCAGCGCCCCGCTGCGCGCGGCAATGACATCTCGAGCAGTGGCCATGGTTTCATTGGAGGCTGAAGATGGGCGGGCCGCAGTCAGTCGGCGAATCCGATTGCCTACCAAACTGAGCATGCGAAGGGCCGGTAGCTGGCCCAGTGCGTCAAAGTGGTTGAGCAGGTTGCCGTCCAAGTTGATGGTGGTGAGGTTGCGAAAGGCCAGCTCATTGGAAAGATGAATGCTGCGCAACGGAACAGAGCGCAACTCAAGGGCGTCGAGTTCGCGAGCGCGTTGCTCGCCCACCATGTCCACGATGCGGTCAACCGTCAAAAGAGCATCTAGGCGCTTGCGAGTTCGCCGTTGCTCTTCCGATGTGACATCAAGGCCATCAAGCTGCTTGAGCTGTCGGCCAAGATGATAAATGCAGAGGTCACGGGCGGCTGACCGGCGCTGATGCGGGTTGTGGCAGATATCTAGCACGGAGAGGTGGGTCAGTTGGCGCAGGTGGAAAATCTCGCGGAGGTTGCTAATGCTGTTGTTGTTGAGATGCAGTTGCTGCAATGCTGTGCAGGTGGTAAGAGGCTTGAGCTCGCTAATAAAGTTGAAAGCGGCACTCAGCGTGCAGATGGCTGCTTTGCCCTCTACACCAGCCAAGGAAGAGAGAGCGTTGTGATCCACGGCCAGACGCTTGAGTTTGCATAGGTGTCCCTTGAGCGGCTCGAGTGAGTGGACCAGGTTATGCGAGATGTCCAAATGAACGAGGTTGTCGCAAACCACGATGGCGTCGAGCGAGCGTAACTGGCAACGCGATAGAGAGAGGGCCGTGAGCGTGTCGGTGGACGCCGACTGTTGCAGACCAGAGAGCACGGCTGTAATGGTGAGGGGCTGGGCAGAGCTCACGACAATTTCCGCCAATCCCACGCGCCGCAGGCGTTCCGGCGCCAAACGCGCAACACCAAATTTGGGGTCCTGTGCCAGGATCTCCAGGTGGTCAGGGTCTGGCTGCGAGAGAGCATAAAACTGCTTGGCGGCAAATGGCTGGCGCAAACCAAACAATTCCTCTTCGGCTTGAAGTGCGAAGGAGTCCCGAGCGCGCCGCCGACGCGGGGAAGGTACAGCTGCTGCGATATCTAGGTCCACATCCACATCCTCATCCACTCGCGCATTTGAATCATCTTTGGCACCGTCCGTCTTGGCGAGTCGCGGAGATGCCACCTCCTCTGCCTGATGACGGGGGAGAACGCTGCAGCAGACCCGAATTTGGGGCAGGAGCACAGTAAACATGCTTTTGACGTAGTCTGGTCCGTCCATAAACTCTTGAAACGGGTTGCAGTTGACAGCAACAGTGCGCAGCTTTGGGAAGTGATCAAGGTTACTCAACTGGCAAACGCTGGCGAGCGCATTGCAAGAAAGGTCCAAACTCTCAAGCGCAGGCATGCGATCGAGCTTGAAGCGCGCGATTTGATTGCAGACGGCGCGCACAGTGCGCAGCTTGGGATGCTGCACAAGTGTCAGCTCACGTAGGTCATTGTGGCTAACATCTAGCTCCTTCAGGGCGGCAAGAGCAGCTAAAGCCGGTAGGCGGCGAAGGCGGGCGCCCACAAGGCAAAGTTGGGTCACTGAAGCCAGGGGAGAGCCACCAAGCCACTCAAGAAGTGTTGGAGCCTGCAGTTCGGAATCGAAGAGACGCACGGCTTGACGCTGACGTTCACGTCCTTCGGTGTAGCCAGCGCTACTTTGTATAGCTTCAGGCGCGGGTGGTACAGAGATACGCAGTTCACGGCAACATAATTCTAGATCAACGACATACATGGGAACTGCTAAAAGCGGGTTGGGAGCCTAACATTATGACATAAAACAGCAGCGAAGCGAGCACACACACACGCACATGGACGCAAGCACGCACACGCGGACCCAAAGAATCAAAGCCAGCCAAAGTGAGAGTTGATGGGTCGGCGGAGTTTGATGCTTAGGCGTTCTGGGGATGCATTTGGGAATGACGGACCGTAGAGGAATCGACGACGCTGTCATCGTCGATATCTGCGTCAGGGTCAGCATCCGATTTGTGGCCCTCCGACTTTTCAGCATCCGACTTTTCCAGATCTGATAGGCTCTCATCAATGTCCTCAGTGTCGGCGCCATCATCATCTGAGGCTTCCACATCCTGGTCATCCACAACCGTTTCTTTGAGTTCGTCACGATTACGCTTGGGTTGGTTGTTGTGACCTTTTGTTTTGGTGCTGGGGCTGCTTGCCGACTTTTTGGCACAAGGCTGCGGCCCAAAGGCATGCACTGGAATGCGAAGCATCAAGAGTCGGACAAACGCAGAGGGGGCTGCCGAGTCGGCTCGGGTTAGCGTCCGCTGGACAAGGGCCGACTCGTGAAGAAACCGCACTAGCTTGAAGTCGGCGACTGCTCCGAGGCGCAGACACACGGGTATGGAAGCACATGCGCATGAGCAAACCAACAAACAACGTGCGTACATGTGGCAAGCAAGCTGTTTAGAGGTTCTCAGGGGTAGGCGAAGGCTGTCAACTGACCGGCGGTTGGGTCACGGAAGATACGGACAATGGCGTCATCATACTCATCCGGCGTTTCAGGTCCATCGAGGAAGACGTAAGTCCACTCGCTGCTGAATGCCGCAGGGCGAGGTACCGTGGGTATTGGCGCAGACGACGGGGCGACCGTAGCAGTAGCAGCAGCGACGGCGGCGGCGGGGTCAGTGGAAGTCTTGTCAGTTTTGCTACGCCGCACAGGGTTGCGAGGATAGGCTGTAAAGCCGAATTTGCCACGGGTGGGCTCAAATTTAGGGTGTCGGCTGGCATGTAAGCTACCACCAAGGGCACACGTCAAGTTTCAAGTTAGAGGATGCAAATTTGTCGACGAATGAGCATGCACGGCGGGTGTGAAAAAGACCGGGAGACGAACTGAGTCATCGCTTGTCGGTGGCTGGCTTGATGTAGCTCGGACTGGACCTTGAGACAGCGGTGAAGACGGACGGCTAGCACGCCTTGCCTTTTGAAGGCTTCTGCATCGAAGCGCGGCTTGCCGGTCAATTCCCGGCGCAGTTTTTGGAACCACCTGTGATCATCGGTGCCGATGGCAATTTGGATGCCACCGTGGGATAGAAGAGCGTAGAGCTGCGTGGGCAGGCGCTCGCGCCATCTTGAAAGTGTGGCTGCCGTGGGGAGGGCTGACAGACGTTCCTATGGATGACAGTAAGCCAGGATGAGATGTATTCGTTCTGGAAGCGCCACGGCGGGCTTTATCGACGATGGACAGGAGAGGGCAGTGCCAACCTCAAGATGTTCATGGGCAGCTTGGAGGTAGTCCTCAAGCTGAGCTGCACGCGCATCATCGCTTGAGGCGGCGTGCTGCAGGCGAGCGTGCAGGGCAGAAGTGCCCGTCCAATAGTGGCGAAGCATTCTCTGAACGCTTGTCAAGTAGGAGCGGGCCCATAGGGCATTGCTGTCACGAAGCTGTTGCCGAGCTGCGCGAGCAAGCATCGCGTCCATCTCCATTTGTTCAGCAGCATGCCTGAGGGAATTGGGTCGACGATACGGGATGAGCTGATCACGGGTGGCAAGTCTTGACGGGCACGGTAATATAAAAGGTCGCTGCAGCGCCGTACTCGCGGGCTTCGGCACTAATGGGAACGTGGTCCAGTTCGTGTAGTTTTGAAAGACACCAGATGGTGTAATCACGCCAGTGGCTGTAGTGACAGCAGGGGTTCTGCAGAGGTTGGCAAGCACACCAGAGACGTGGAGGCATGTCATGGTCGGTTTCAAATGAGACGATCGTGTGATGAAGAACCAACGATGAAGAAAGCAGTAAGAGACAATAAAGCCATTCGTCAGAGAAAGAAGGAGAGGCGTTTTTGGAATCAATGGCTAGAGTGGGTGGACGGACCAAAGGGTGCTGGTCATCGACCAGGACAAGGGACGTGAGCTGTTCGAGTGTTTGGAGAGTGCGAAGAGCTTCAAAGCTGTCAATGAGGTTGCCAGCCAAGTTGAGGGATTCCAGCTCATTCAGCGCGGTCAAAGGCTGCAGATCGCGGAGACGGTTTCCGGAGATGTCAAGATGCTTGAGTCTATCGGCACAGGTTGATATGAGCTGGCGTGGAGGTGGGCTGTGGGCAGCGCGGTGCACAAGACTGACTGCGTCAAGTGGGCCAAGGGCGTCAAGTCTGCGATGAGATTGTCGCGCAGACTGAGCGTCCGCAATTGCATGAGCTACCAAGGGATGCGGATGCAGAGTGAGTCTGGGTGAGCACACACTTGGAGGCTGGAGGCCAGCGAGATGTGGGCGGGGCACGAACCATCATGGCGCGCATGGGTTCGAGTGAGGCAATGTGGGCATTCATGAGGTAGAGCTTCTCAAGAGCAATGCAGTTTTCTGAGGCGGGAGTTGATGGGCGGAGACAAGAGGTAAGTGTAAAAGCCGAGTGCAGAGGTACGGCGCGGCGAGGGCCGCGGGGCAACGGACCGATGGCGCTCCATTCTTCGAGCGGACACTCGCAGGCCCATAGCTCTTCGAGGTGGGAGGGAATACCCTGCAGGCTTTGCAGCTTGGGCTATAGGAGAGGTCGCACGAAGGCCGATGGATTGGATGGAAATGAGGCGCCAAAGAGGTGAGCGCTAATGCTCCAAGGGGTATGGCGGCAAGACCTGATTGACGAGGCGGAGGCGACGAAGGGCTCGGCAACAGCGGCCAAGAGCTCGAGCAGAGACAGCATTGCCTAAAGGCGTGGGGTGGGACGATGATGCAGATGATGCGGATGAGGTCGTGCGAGGGCACGGCAGCGTGGGTCAAAGGTTGCGAGCGAGTGGGCGAGCGGGGTCGGGAGCAAAAGTTGGGGCGACACGAACCAAAGAACCAGTCGATGGAGGTGACGGCCGCGATAGCAGCGGGGTCATCGATGTTAAGCAAATTGCATTCAAAGCAGTGGATAAGGCCGGGCTCCTCTTCGATGGCAGCCGCCAACTCGGCCTCGGCCATGGATGCCATGGCCGCCGGTGCCGGGGCGCCCCTACCCTAGTTGGAGCCAGGGACTGTCGCTTGACAAGGCGAGCAAGGCAGCGGGTGGATAGCCCACAACGACAAGGGTCTACCCGATTGGTTGTTGACAGACAAGTGGTGGTGCAGAATAGCGTGAGCGGAACCCCGGGCTGGTGCTTGGGCATACACAGGCCGTAGCAGCTGTCGGCAGGATGACGGAGGCAGGCAGGCAGAGCAAAGAGGGCGAAGAGGTTCATGTGCCGCACCGTCGGTATGCGAGAAGAAGGAAGAGCACCAGCGCGTCGCGTGTCAAACAGCAGCAGCAGCAGCTTCCCCTCCCAGACCAAAGGATGCTGGCTCCAACACTCCCGGAGAAAGGTGTGCAGCTGAAGGTCCAAGACAGCAGATGAAGACGAGGAGGAGGAGGAAGAAGACGACGAGCTGAGGAGGAAGACGCAAGAGCACACTGCCCCCAAGGTCACCGAGTTGCTGAGCGAGAGAGAGAGAGAGAGAGAGAGAGAGAGAGAGATGATGATGATATGTGAGAGAGAGAGAGCGAGTGATGTGATGTGAGAGAGAGATTGAGAGAGAGAGAGAGAGAGATGAAGGGGAGAAGAGAAGCCAGACAAGAGATAGAGAGGGAGAGACGAAAGCGAGAAGAGAAGCAAGAGATGAGAGAAAGAAAGAAGAGAAGCGAGAGAGGAGAAACCAAGTCGTAGTTGGTTGACAACGGGGTGACGTTAAAGTAATGCAACATATATGCGAGTTATCGTAGCTTATTTAAACTTTATCTTATCTACCCATATCAATTAATTTAGAGTTATTGTAGCTAAAGTACAACTTTATGTATGTAGGAATGTCACTATGAATTGTTTCCAATTCCGCCTCCATCCAACAACGCCTCACGCCCTCTCCTCCCACCGTCCATACCCAGGCCCGCCACCATTGACCAGCTCAGTACCCCCTCTCTCCCTCTCTCTCCTAAACCAGCCCTAACCACCCCCCCCATCCCCATCTCGCTGCCACCCCGCTGCCACCCCGCTGCCGGTCGCGGTGTATGTGTATGTGTGTGTTTGTTGCGAATCTTCAGTCATCCCCAACCACCCAACCACTACTGTACTTTACATCACACTTTACACATTCAAATAAGTATAATACTTAACACGCTCAGTGGGTCGGAAATGTCAGACAAAATGGAGTGCATTGGCGCCCGCGCGTCACTCCTCAACGTCGGTTATTGAAGCATATATAAAGGTTATTGAAGAAAACAACTATGATAAGGTTATATTTTATGAAGTAAAGTATCCTGTAAATGTAGATTCTTGAAAAGCGGTGTCTCGTTTCGTGGTCGGACTTGGTGTCACGCAGATCGGGCTTCATCGAGGCGCCCCCCCCCCCCCCTTCCCCCCGCCTCGACGTCTTTCGCCTGAGCTTGGGGGGGTTTTTCCCTTGGTCTTGGCTTCCAGGTCTCCCTTTCAGCGGTCTGGACTCGTCGACCACATTGCCCCATGCGCCACCTGGCGGGAAGGACCACTGTACCACGGCGCTGACAGACGCGGCCCGACTTTTCAAGGTGGTCATGACTTGAGGCGCTCCAAGGGCACAGACCATCCCATGGTCACATGGCATTGAGTGCCCTTTGAGCTCGTGTGCCATTCTCCCCTCTCTCTCACTCTCTCTCTCGCTCTCTCATGACTATGCGTGCGGTCGGGCCAACCGTGCGCCGACGCCATGGGTCTGGTGACCACTCGGCCCGTCGTCGCCCTCTGGTCTCGCGCCTCTCTGCTTTGGTCTCCCTTTTGGGGTGGACCATGCTGCTGCTCTTGTTTTCTTCGCGGCTTGACATTGTAATGGGCCAGATTTCTCAGCTCAAGGGCCTAGCTGAGCTACAGTCAGATCTGCTTGCCATCCTTGGTCCGGGCGTAACCCTCCAACCGCTGCAACCAGAGCCGTCGGGTAACCTCGTCGCCTACCTGGCCACTCTGGCCATTGGTGCGGTTCTAACCCCCGCTTGTTCTTGAAGCCTATTGGCGCTCTCCCCGCCTCGCTCTCCCACCCGCTCCCCTCCTCTCTCTCATCTACCCCGTTGCTCTCGACCTCGTCATCATTGGTATGCAGGCAACCCGGTTCAACTCGTTCATCTGATTGTGGACACTGGCTCCTCGGCGCTGGCCGTGAGTCATCCCAATTGCACCACGGCCACAAAAAGCCCTTGCACCAGTCATGCTTTTGATCCAGGTTAGGTGCTTTCTCCATGTGCTCAAAAGCTGATGCGGTTGGGGAACAGGCTTACACCGTCAGATACGGCCACTTGACAACCTCTCTCACTCGGTCAACTTGCGTTTTCTCCCTCTCAAATATTGGAACCCTTTTTTAGCATACAGTCAAACCTTTGCAGCTTCACGCATTAGCCATCGCGTGGTGCGCATCCTGTGGCCTGTTTTTGTCATAATGTGGTTCTTTTGTACGCCTTCCTCCTCCTGCGGTGGGCCGCTGATGGTCTGCCTGTTGCTCTCGCGCCTAGGTCACCATGGAATACGATCGTGGTCGATGGCAGGGCTCAATTGGAACAGATCTGGTAGAAATCATCAACTTTGAGGATTCCAGGCACAAAAAGCACCGCCATCAACGTCGAGATGCTGCGATTCTTGTCCCTCACACCAATCACAAGAGCCTGCCCCTCGCACCACACCACATGGGCATGAACCGTTCCTCGAGACCTTTGGACTCGGGCCTTCCCTGGGGACAGGCCCACCTGATCAAGCCCAACTCAACCTTGCAGTTTGGTCGTGCGGTTGGTCGCACACCAAACCTCTTGGCCAAACTCCCTTGGCGGCTTGAGACAGGCATCAATCTGATTGAGCAGGCCTGGTCCATCTTCACCTTTGGCGGCTTTGACGGAATTGTGGGCCTTAGCCCGCGTGCGGCTTGGCTACAATCCAATCGTGCCCAAGTTTTGCTATTGCTAAGCGGCCATCACAGCCGTCTTTGGCTGGCCCACAGCTCCTCGGACCAGCCGGTGATTGAGGCTCGCCTTCGCTGGGCCAAGCTCGCATCGGCCACGAATAGCACGGTCGTGAAACTGCTCGGGCCCCGCAACGCCCTTCACTTCCGTGCTCGCTGCACACAGATTCTGGTGAGCATACTCCGTGCCATGGCTTTGAACACACACACCCATCAATTCTAGGCGACTGCATGCCACACACCACTGCACGCCCATGCAACTATCAACACGTTTGCTCGTTTAGGTGGACTCGGAGCGTCTGCTCGTGCCGGTCATGCCAAAAGTAATGAAAGGATCCATGCTCAATGGCATCGACCCGCCCACGACCCAGCTTGCCATGGAGGCCGTTTTTGACACTGGGACCACATACCTTCTTCTGCCTGCTGTCGTGCACCAGGCTTTGATGAAGAGGCTTCAAGATGTTGTCCCGGTGAACAAGGTATGGCTCGTCGCTTCCTGCGCTAATTCTGGTTTTTGCGCGGCCCGACCTGTTGCACATGGTTGTACCATGATTTGTCTTACGCCACCCATGCCTGGCAGGCCATTTGGGAGGACTATTGCGTGCAAACACACCCAGCCTTGTGGCCACCCCTCGCCTTGGTCTTGGATTCAGGCGCCTATTTGACCCTCTATGGACGGCACTACTTGCGCGAGCACTCACCCGGACTTTTTTGCATGGGCATTGGCTTGTCCCAAGCGCCTAATGAGGTGGTCATTGGCTTGCGTGCCATGGATGGGCGCCTGTGGGGCTTCAATCCCCAACAACATCGGATGATGTTCTCGAGCGTGCTGCAGCTGGACCCACCCTCGACACCCAGTGAGGTCTGTCAGTGGTTGAGTGGCCAGCTCACCTCCTTTGCGGCCCAGGTCAAGTGCGAGCCCGTCTGCCGAGCGGATCTAGCCGCCTCAGCCTCGTACTGTGACAACTTGCACTTGGAAATTGCCGTGGACCATCGCCGCTACCGCTACGAGGGCGTTCAGCTCTCGTGGGTAGGCATTCAACGGCACCGAGCTTGGTGGGATGGCGGCGTGTATGTGACGGCGACCTGCGACGTCGACGCCTACTACCCGCTTCAATGTGCCGTCGTATTGCAGTGGGGTTGGATCTTGTTTGGCTGCCTCTTGAGCGCCGCCCTCTTCATGCTGCAGGTCATCTTCTCTCGTAGCTTGCGCAGCCTTCATGTCAGGGCTGGTCATGCTGCCAAAGCCGTGTCTACACAGCCCCTGTGTGAGCCGGCCCAGGCCGTCTGAGATGCTCATATTTTCAAGCCTGCCCGCTGTGCAACCAGAACTGCCAGCCACTCGCGGCACTCGACATGGCCATCATAGTCAACGGGGCTTGGTCCTCGCTTCATCATGTTATCATTCTTCTCAGTGGCTTATCGATTCAGCTAATAGACGACAAGGACTTTTTTTCGGGCACAACACACAAATCAGAATGAAGATCCACGGCCGTCTGCAGGGCACGTCGAGATCATGGGAACATATACAAACAACAAACAAAAGATCCCAAATCAAGAACCCAGAGAGGGTCGGGGAAGGAAACATCAAGGCGGCATGAAATGCACGCCCCAGTGTCCTCGTTCACAAATGCTTGAGAAACAAAGAACAACCGACAAATTCCTCCAACTCTCAATGACCCCCTTCCCAGGTTTGCTCGCTTCAGGCCCTGCGTCAAGGCAAAGGGCCTGAAAACCAGGGCACACGTTTATGTTCTCCACGTAGAGCAGAGAAGGGAGGGGGCATGATACGCGCGGCAGCCAATACCGGCTTAGGCTGATTGCAGCAACGGCTTACGGTCCGATAACTCTGCGTGGTGGGGAAAGGCAGATATGGTGGGTAAGTCGACTGCCACGGGCGCTCGAGCTGGTGGCGTGCGGTGTCTTGAGTGAGCGGGGCAAAAACATCCTGACCTTCTTTTTCGTCTTCAGAGCCAAACATGAGGAATTGCAGTGCAATGGTAAAGTCGAAAATAAGGGTGCCCACGCTCCCAATAAGCCAAGGCAGATGGTCGATGATAAAGTCGTTGGCCGACGACTACAGTTGTGGTGTAAGTGTCATCGTTTTCACGTGAGAAGAAGTCAGGGCCCATGCGCTGCGTTGCGTCCAAGTGTGTAAAGGTATGCGTGTTGGGGCTCAAGCCATACTAACCTCAAGGAGAACGCCCAAGGCGTAGGTGGTGTTGCCTAAAATGGCCATGATAAACATGGCCACCGACAAGCCATCGGTCGAGCGGCGACGAAACTATTTCACATGGGAGCAGATGGAGTAAGCGGAGTGTGTATGGGATGCAAAGCGCTCATGGGGCCAAGAGGCTTCTTTTTGAACGCGTCACCTACGTTTTTAACAATCTGCGGAATGCGGGAGGTAAAGTAAAGCAAGCCAGAGATCCAGCCAATGGTCCAACCCACAATGTTACGCGTGCCCTGAATGTGCAAGCGAACCGAGTGCATCCGGTAAGAGGGACAGGGGCAGAAAAAATGGCCACCGAGGTGTCAAAGGTTGTTGTCAGAGAAGCGGGGAGCAGGACAAACATGAAAGGAGTGAATCTCGAGGAGGACGCGACCGGCCGGGCGGGCTTCTTCGGCCTCGGCAGGACCGGCCGTCAGGGCCACGAGGGCCACAGTGGCAAGGGCGACGGTGACCACGATGCCGGCGCCCATGGTGTTGTAGGTGGTGCTGGCGACGACATGGGGTGCAGTTTTCTTGCGTTTGTACTTTTCGTAGTACAGCCATTGCAGACACATGGACGTGTCGATAAAGCAGAACCAGATGGCAGTGTACAACTGTAGCACAAGGCACCGAGGAGAAGACGAACAAGGTGGGAGTGAGAATCTGGGGCTGTTGCGTGTGTGTGTGTGCGTGTATGTGAAGGGAGGTTAGGGGGGGGATCAGCACTAGAGGTGGCCGATATTGGGTCTTGACTGACTTGTGTGGGGACCTGTTTGGTCAGGATGCAGCCAATGAGGTTGGTAATGTCACCGGCAAGCCAATCGGCCAAGAAGAGGCCCGAGAGGCCTTCTGCGGTCGAGGTCTTGAAATTGCGATAGAGTTGCCTGTAATGAAAGAAAGGCAAGCGCTCGTTAGACACGTAGTTGTTGGCCACGTGCTCATGAGGTGGCGAGTCCCAGTCCAGAGATTTGACTTACGGGCCTTGAGCCACGATCCAGCACAGGATGGAGAGTAGGCCAAAGATGAGGCCAGCCAACTGCTTGTCATTATGAACACATTCACCTATCAAGGGGACCGGGCGGAGACATCAGGTGAGCAAGGCTTTGTGGGAACGAAGCCAGCTCAAAGCTGCGCAGCTGGCGAGCAGGGGGCGGCGGTGGGGTGGTCTTGAGCTGAAGGCTCGAATGCGTACTAAAGTAGTTGTTGGCCCACATGTAGTTGCTGGTCGTGTTACAGGCGGTGCTCGAGGCGTTGGCCGCCAGCTCCAAGCCCTGGTCCAGGCCCAACCCTATGCACAGAAAAGAAGAGAATGCCCAGTCAGAGAGCAAGTCGAAGCAAGTCACGCGGCCAAAGTCCTGGCTAGCTGTCAATGACAGCCGACCACGAGGAGGCCGTACCGGTGAACATGACGATGGTCAAGTGTATTGCGCTCCTTTGTCTTCTTCAGCTCAAAATACCGGATCAATGCTGTGACTTTAGGTCCTCGGCGCACACGCAGGCACGCACACGCTCGCGCGCGCCCTGCACCCCGTCCGTCAGATCGAGCCTCTGGTCCCAATGTCCCTCCCCCTGCCGCGCGCGCACACACACACACACACTCGGCGACGACTTGGTGCCGGATGATGAGAATGGAGCAGAGGCAGAGACAGAGAGCGTTTGTGTGAGAATTTAAGAGAGAGTGTGATTGAGCGAGCTAGATTGAGAGAGAGAGTCGAGAGAGGAGAAGAGATAAAGGTAGTTACAAAGGTAAACGGAGAGATAGTGATGGAAAGTGAGTCAGAGAGAGAGAGAAAGAGAGAAAGCGCGATACAGAGCAAGAGAGAGACATTGACACAAGGGCAAAGATCAAGCAGTAAAGGCACAACAAGCATGTGGTATAGCTTGGGAGCACTATGGGAGACCGATGGGAGGCTTTGAATTGTCAGCAATTCCGTAGCATCTCCAGAAAACACACACACACACACACACAGGCAGCGTCTTGTTGCAATCGCGCACACGTACCACGGGGTAAGAACGGGCATTTGTATCGAACAACAGGTGTTATCAACAGGTATGTCGTAATCGGCGGATGGCAGCCCCGAAAGAGTGAGAGAGAGAGCGCACTGACGGGCGGGGTTTGCGCTGAACGGGCAGGGCTCGTCCTCGGTCTCGTCCTCGTTCTCGTCCTCGTCCTAGTCTTCGTTCTTGTTCTCGTTCGCTGGGTTAGTGTCCTCGGGCTTGATAGCCTGTGTTGTCGCGCGCTGGGTACTTGCATAACGTGGAATACACTCACGTCTGCTGGTGCTTTCGGGGGTTTTTCACTTTCAATTTTCGTCGATCAGCAGGCACTTCCAGCTCCCGGTGCTAAATGTTGCACTTGATACGACGTGCATTTGCTTGTCCCACCAGCTTGAACCGGGCTTCGCTCTTCGTCGGTCGCTCTCTACACGCCAGTACAGCCACTATGGCCGCCGACACCCCCGTGTTTTTCCTCGATGCCTTTGCCATGCGGCAGTTCACAGACCCCACGTACCAAGGTCTGGAAAAATGTTTTCTGCAACGCCCCTGGCCCCATGAAGCGTTTCGACCCTCTTACTGGTCTTCTGGCCCAGCGCCACCCAAAGATTGACGCTGATCCTTATCTTGCCGCCGCGGTGTGTAGGCACGCGGCTCAAGTGTTCTCCCGAAGAGTTTGCCCGTCAGGTCAACGAGCGCTGTGGGCTCCAAGATCTCAAAGACGGTTATGCCCCCTTTTGCAAACACGTCTTTGTCGAAAACTTTGTCGGAGCATCTTGCCCCGTCGTTGAGCTCAATGCCGAAACCGAACAGCTCGTCACGTCTGCCTACAAGGCGCGCACGGAAAAGGTACGGTGATCATCTCATGGCCTGCCCTCGCTGGATGCCCATTTCTTGACTCGGCTGCTTCTCCTTTACTAACATGACCCAACGCCGATGCAGGAACTACCTGTGCTGACTCGCTGGATCCCAGCTGACCGCATTCAGGCTCCGCAAGCCAAATACCTGGACGTCATCCTGTACAGGTGTGGTAAAATTAGCCCCTCGGCCTGCTGTTTTGTGCGGCCATGGTCGCCAGACCACGTTTGAGCCACACAATCTTGCGCGTCACCAGTCTGCGCTCAACACCTCCCAACTCTACTTAGCCGTGAGCAAATCATTGACGAGCACAATGCCATGAAGGACGAAAATGTCGACATTCCCGACAGCCCCTGGGGCATCATTTCCGTCAAAGCCCAGGTACTCACGCTTCTTCCCAAAAAAGGGTTGCTGGCAGCTCCTTGCTCCACCACATCTTACAGCTTTTTGGTTTGAGCTGCAGATGGAACCGTTTGAGACGCCAATGCAGCCCATCACCATGATGCGCAACGCGCTGGGCAAGGATGAAGGCGGCTCCGGCGTCACCCTGGATCGGTGCGTCCTGATCCTTGGCGCACAGGGGCTTTCTTTTCCAAACTTCTTCTCATCATACGCTTTGCTTCAACGGCCACACACAAACCCCGTAGCGCCAAGTACCAGGAGAGCGTTGAGTACTGGTCACGTCACGTCCCCATCGCCTAATCACGTCACGTCCCCATCGCCTAAATGCCGTCTCTCTTTGGTCGACCATGGTGGACCCACAAAGCTCAAGGTGCCTCAATCTATTCCACTTCCTCTCATTCTTTCCCCTCTCATCTTCTCCCGTCACTAAATGAAAAGGCAGGTCCAAGAGAATTGATAGAAAGGGCACCCACAAGGAAGGTGAAACATGGCGGAATAAAATTACGACAGTGAACGAGGAACACGGCAATCAAACTCACACAAGATCAAAAAGGAGTCAGACCAAGAAAAAAAGGGGTGGAAAAGTTGAAACAACGGCAATGCTTACACCAGCCACTTCATATCCACAACTGGGTTACAAGAGGCGAGATGGGGACAGAACACTCACATCACCCTCTAGATGTACGTACACACGGCATTTGCTCATCATGGCCACGAACGCTCGCATTGTATACCACACATCCAACCCAGTCACCAAGCAACAGCTCATGGCCAGTTCGAACGCAAACGAGTGCCAGAAGAATAAGCAAACAAAACAATGGCTGAAGAGAAAAACTTTGAAGTAACACCACACTCAGGACTTAGACATTCGAGACGGAAAGGTATCGACAGATGGCTGGGTAGCCAAACGCAAAAAGTGACCAAAGAGAAAAAGGGAAAGGAATCGAAAAGAAGAAGAAAAAAACAAAAAAACAAAAAACAAAAACAAGAATCACAGAGCATACGCGACGGGAGAAAGCAAACGAATGGGCTCTACGGCTGGCCACAAGCCTACAATTCGCCTTGGTCCACAAACGTGAAACCAGCAAACTTTTGCTGGACGCTCTCTGACAGCAGCGTGTCCTGCAAAGGGGTGTCCACGGCACGCATACGAGTAAACTCCTCATCAAAGTTGCTCGTGTCCAGCTCGTCCCCGATGCGGGGTTTCCAAGGTGCTTCAAGCTGTTTCTTTTCCAGGGCCGCCCAGTCCATGTCCTTGAAGAACAAATGACGCTGAATCTCCTTGGCCGAAAGACGACCGAGGCGAGCGGAGGGATTGCGCTGCAGCAGCTGAGTAATCAAATCTTGAGCCTTGAGAGACACCTCCTCGGGGAATGTCAAGGGCTGGAACAAAATGCGTCGATACATCTCCTGCACGAGCACGAGCACGAGCACGAGCACAAGCGCAAGCACGAGCACAAGCATGAGAAGAGGAATTCGGCCAGCCCAGAGGGTGAAAGCGTGTGAGGTGTTGTGTTATTGCTATGCATGCACGGGCGGGTATGCTGGCTACCACACCCACCTGGGTGTCCTGGTCGTAAAAGGGCGGCAGGCCTGTGAGCATCTCAAAGAGTAGAGTGCCCACAGTCCACCAATCCACTTCCATGCCGTAGCCCTTCTGCTGCAGGATTTCCGGCGCCATGTATTCTGGTGTACCGCAAAAGGTGTAGGTGCGGCCAAACTTGTCAATGCCTTCTTTGCAGAGGCCAAAGTCCGTCAACTATAAATGGCCCCCACGCAGGCATGAGCATGGTTGTTGTCAAGCTCGAGAACAACCACGGTTGACATCCAGGAAAGATCAGGGCCAAAGGCGCAGCCAAGCAAGCAAACCAACCTTTAGGTAGCCATTCATGTCAATCAGGACGTTTTCGGGCTTGAGATCGCGATAAATGACGTTGAGCGCGTGGAGGTGCTCCAGGGCCAGGATGAGCATGGCCACATAGAATCGCGAGCGTGACTCGGAAAAGTTGCCATCGCGCTGCAAGTGCACAAACAGCTCGCCACCGCTGACGTAATCGAGGACAAAGTAGACCTGAAACAGCCCGGGTCGATGAGCAAGAGGAGCAAAAGAAGGCAGGGTCGAGTGTGACCTCGAAACGTCTAAAAAGCGAGGAACAGACCTTGTCTGGAGTCTGAAAGGAAAACTTGAGGGCAACAAGAAAGGGGGAGCTTGACTTGACGAGGATGCGGCGCTCGGACATCGTGTGCTCAATCTCGCCGCGATCCTTGAGGTGTTGCTTGCTGATCTTCTTGAGGGCATAGATGCGGCCGGTATCCTTTTTCCGCACGAGCATGACCTTGCCAAAGCTGCCCTTGCCGATGACCTTTTCAATGCTAAAGTCATCCATGGACACGCGCGTGGGGTGCTCGCTCATGGCCACGCTGTAGGACACGTAGACAAGGGGGGGGATTTCCGGCTTTTTCTCGCCCACAAGGGTAATCGTCTGATTCTGGGTAGGAGTGGGCTTCATCTCAGTAATGAGGGCACCGCCACCAATCAGGGCACAGCCATCCTCGGCGCTGGCGTCGTAGAGCCAGAAGCGCACGGGCCAGTGCTCAGCGGTCATGTCAAAGGAGAACGTCTGGTTCCACTCGGCGTCCATGCCTTGCTTGGTCAAGCCCCGGACCTGAGGGCAAGGGATTGGGAGTGAGAGTGGGAGTGAGAGTGATGTGCATTCTTCGTGCCCGCCAGAGGACCATCCGTGGTAAACGAGGGAAAGCAAGACGGAGGGACAAGGTCAAGGCGGGGCGGGGCGTTTCCAAACGACGGGCTTACCTCTTGACCGTGATACTCGACAGAGAAGTAGGGCTGGACCGAGTCATCATCACCGAGAAACTTGCCATTTCGAACGGTGAGAGTGAGAACGGCCCTGCAAGAACGCACACACGTGGAGGAGGCAGGGCGATGAGCAAAGAGCTGATGGAGAGCCGATGGAGGTGCGAGATGCGAAATGACAACGACAAGTGGGAGGGGAGAGGCAGGCACGAACCGGTGATCTCCGGGCTCCGAGTCAGCGAGCTGTTGAGCGGCCTTGGAATCGGGCCCGTCAGTTGCTGAAGTGGCCTTTTTATCCTTTTTGCCCAGCAGAGCCTTAAGGCGGTCCTCATGGGGGTCAGCGGCGGTGGCTGGATCAGCGGTAGCGGGGGCGGCGGTTTTGTCCTTCTTCTTGTCCTTGCCCTTCTTGCCTCGGTTGAACATGGACATGGCGACGGTGGCGAGGGGCAAACAGACGCAAATGACAAAAGGATGGAGAGCCGGGGGTAGGATGGATGACAGCGAGGTCACCAAGCCTCGGGATGGCGGCTGGCTGTGGGCACCGATGATGCTAGTAACGGATCAGGCACGGTGACGCGAGCCGCACGACGGCGAGAGGTTTGACAGCGATGGGAAAGGAGGAAAAGTCCAAGAAAAAAAAGAAAAAAAAAAAAGAGGAAAAGGAAAGTAGGAGAAGAAGAAAGGAAAGAAGAAGACCAGGGAGGTGGGGACTGCAGCCGGTGATGGCAGTGAAGCAGGGCCAATCAATCCGAGGAAACCTGCCAATCGCGAAACGGGGAGGAGGAGCAGCGGGGCTGGATGAGATGATGCTGTGAAAAGACGATGCGCCAAGAGCCAAGGTCGGGATGAATGAGGCACACTACTCCAAAGGGGACAACAGGTTTGGACGACCAAGGAAGCGACGAAGAACCACCACCACCACCACCTCAGCTATCTGGCTGATGACGGTGTGACAGGCAGCAGAAAAAAAAAAACTTCAAAGGGCAACCGGCGGGGGTGAATGCGACTCTTGACTCATGCAGAAGAACGGCCAACAAACACGCAAAGAAAATGCATTCAGCACACAGACAGACACACAGACACCACCATGGTCAAGAGGCAGTCGGAGACAGCAGGTGTCAAGGCGACAAGCAGGCAGCAGCAGGGTCGGATACTCCAGCGTCAGGTCGTGCCTCGTCGTCCGGTTCAGTAACTGCTCTCTCTCTCTCTCTCTCTCTCTCTCTCTCTTCTTTCTATCTCGCTCTCTTCTCTCTGGTTTGGTTCAAGTTTGTGTCTCTATCTCTTGAATTATAGGGATATCCATCTGTTTCTCTACCTTGGTGTTGATAAATTGTCTTTTTCTCTAGTTTGTCTTTGATTTGTGCTTAGTCGTTCGTTAAACCTGGGTCATTTCTCTTGTGGAATCACTCTGGTACACCGCATCTCTCACTTTGCTTGGGAATGTTTGCAATCTCTCTGCCTGCCCTCTCGCCTGCCATGCCATCTCTTGCCTGTCTGTCAGTGAGCATGACTGGGGTTCTTCTTCGAGCTTGACCGACTTGGATCGACTGGCCCGGCTGCCATTATGGCGCCCCGATCCCCCTGTACCTCACCATCGAGACACTCTCACAAAGTCTTTATCGGCGTACTGGGTACTTCGAATCCAGGGCATGACGGCGCGTTTCGTTATAACATCACCACGCCACCAACGCCCCTCCAACAGGGCTTTTGATTGTTATTATGGGGAAGAGCCAGCTCCAATGAGACAGGATGCCGGCGGCGTGTGAGATCCTCCAGCCCGTCTTGGGGCCGTTGAAGCAACATCCATTCTACTAGGGAGACGATCTGCCCCGGGACAGTCGGCTCTGGTCCGGCGTTGCCCTCGCGGCATTTGAGGGCGGCTGCCATTTACAGGGAGAGGGATACTCGGTTGCGATGGGGCGGGCAGCAGATGTCAATTTTATCTTTTTTGTCATAAAGAGCATCAGCAGATTCGATCTGGTGATAGACACTGTAGAGAAGATGCAGATACCAATGCATCATAAGCTTGAGGTACCTTATATTGGTAATTAGAAGTTGAAGCAAAATATCGACTTTATGACGCACCGTCGCCTTGAACCTGACAACCACGATTTTGCGCAATCGGTTCGTAGGCATAGCGATACGACAGAAGCGGTGAATTTAAATCCCCAAAACCCTTTTTTACTTTGGAGAGGACGGGCGTTGGATGATAGTTCCCAGGGGTAGTCTTAAGTTTAAAGCGACCATGGCCAGCGCCACGACGACATCGCCAACGGCAGCGCCCACGGCAGCGCCAGCGGCAGCAGATGAGGCGCCTTTGCTGCAAGATGAGGTCCGTGCCTGCCACCGAATCTGTGTTCTAATCCTTTGCACTTTCCTCCTCTCGCCGTGTTCTATCCTCCAAATTGAGCGGCGAAACAGCTTGGCTGAGCCGACTCACGCACACACACATGTGCATCTCTGCTCCTCCTCCGTCTTGTTGGCATTCGATCGCCAGTTTGAGCACCACGGCCAGACCGTCTCTGTCGTGCTGACACGTACTGCCATCGAGCTGCGCTCCACCAGTCGGCCTGGATCCTGTACGACACTTGCCAACCTCGTGACCACGCTCCCCGCTCCCGCTTCCCACGCTCGTCTTGCACAATCCATCACACCTTTTTGTGTTGCGTTCGACTGACGATCGGGATGGATTGTGGATGGCTGGCCGTATAGCCGGTCGCCTGCCGCTGGAGGAGGTGTATGGAACTGCCATCGTCGAGCGCAATGCACAGCGCTTTGGCCTCGAGCTGTTTCGCCTGCACGCCAAGAAGGAAGGCGGCAAGGCCAAGCAATTACGGGTGCGAGATCGCTTCTGCTCGTCCGACCCGTCTCCTCTGCGCGCGCGCCACCCTCCAGAACCAGTGCCTCACATCTGCGTGCTACAGAGCCTGCTCGAATCCACCGATCGCACCAAGCTGGAAAATTGGTCCACCGTCATTCGTCGCCATGCCGCTTGCCAGCAAGGTCGGTCTTGCTCAATCGCCCAGCGCTGCAGGTGCTGTCTTGCTTATCCACACCTGGCGTGCCGCAGAGAATGGCCATCCCCGGCACCTCTTGGTCCTCGTCAACCCCTATGGTGGCACCAAGCGAGCCCCCAAAGTCGGTCATGCTCCCTGCTGTTGCTTCAATCTGGGCTCGGGTCATCAAGCTTGGCCCGACCCGCCTTTATGAATCCATTACTTACGGTCGCTCATGACGGTTTGCTGGCTTGTGCGACTAGATCTATACCCGCCACGTCAAGCCCATGCTCGATCGTGCCGGCATCCGTCACACGATGCGCCACACCGAGCATGCTTGCCATGCCATCGAAGTGCGTCCAAGGTTTTGAGCTTGCGCCAATACCCGGTCTTCGCTCAGCTAATAAACGCTCAATTTTTTTCCTCTGCGCGGTGACATTTGCACATAGATTGGAGCAACGCTCGACCTCGCCTTGTATACGGGCATTGTGGTCGTCAGTGGCGATGGCTTGCTCAATGAAATGATCAACGGCCTGCTTCACCGCGACGACTGGGAGGCTGCCGCTCAAATTCCAATCGGCATCATTCCTGCTGGTTTGTTCGTCGACGGCCAACTCTGGGCTTGGCTTGCCCCGGGTTGATCCGGCTTTACACTCATCACGCTCCGCGCACGCCTCGGTTGTTGGCTGCTCGGCAAACCTTAGGTTCTGGCAATGGGTTGGCCTGGTGCTTGGGCCACTTCCAGGTCGAAAAGGCCGTATTTCACCTGATCAAGGGCCACACCACGCCGCTCGACATCTTCCGTGCCTGGCAAGGGCCAAAAGTACACTACGGTTTTCTCTGCCTTCACCACGGCCTGATTGCTGACGTTGACATTGAATCTGAACAATATCGATGGGCTGGCGCTGCCCGATTTACCCTTTCTGGTGTTCGTCGCCTGTTGGGCCTTCGCCGCTACCCGACTCGCGTCTGGTATCAACCTGCCGCAGCCTACGATGAGAACCGCCTGCCTGCCACTGCACGCACCTTGCCCGAGGATGACGTGGACGCCGCAAATGCCGCCGCCAACCCCAAGAGTAGGCCCTACCTTTCTCTCGCACCGCATTGACATCTGCATGCCCAAAGCTTAACGCCTCTTGTCGCAGTGGTCACCGCTTTCTTCTGCTGCCGCCGCTTGTTTCCTCGCTTGCTCTTTCAGTCCGATCACGCTGCCCGGTTTCACAGCTGGAGCGCTATCCTGCATCAGCACGGCTGCCCGACGATCCCGCCAGCCACGGTTGGAAGGTAGGCGATCAAATGCTGCATGCTGCACACATGTGACCTGATACACAGGCGTTGGCTGGGAAAGCATCTCGGCTCGCGTTGTCGCTTTGCTGCCTTTGGCCTCACTTTTTATCCCATCTGGCCACTTTCAACTGTAGTTGTTTGATGGCGAGAGCTCAATAGCTCTGGCACTCAACGCGCCCTGGGTCAGCAACGAGTTTCAAATGTCCAAGCATTTGAGCTTGAGTGACGGTGTTGCGTGTCTGGTCTTGGTAGACGGCTCTGCTACGCCACGGCAGTACGTTGTGCAATACAAGCAGCCGTCGTTTTACACCGCCAAACCACACCGCGCTCATAATGTGGCGGGGAGGCTCATGGTGCATTTGTTTCCGTTTGCACAAAAGACTCATTGGCCCTTTCCTGGAGCCAGAAAAGGCAGCGCACATTGGAAAACCATGGACACGGTAGGTGTTTGGCCATACAACTTTTAATGAGCTTGCGGCTTTGCCATGCAATGTGTGGCTCAACGGGTGAATTTGATGCGCGCGTGCCATAGCTACGTCCTGGTCAAGAATGCCATCTTTGAATTTGCCGATGACCGCGGCGTTTTGAACATGGATGGCGAGGTACCGTCTGCTTTGACTTTTTTTTTTTTCATGCATATTGACACCCCACCTTGCTTGATTCCACTGGTCTTGACGCGCCCCCGCTTCGCTGTGTCTCAGGTTTTGCCACATGTCACGACGGCCATGGACATGATGCCCAGTGTGATGCGGATCTACTCAATGCAAGATGTGCCACTGCCTGCTGAGGATCCAGCCAACGTGCCTCCCGGCGGCATGTTCTGTGAACCTGATGAGCTGACGCCAGCTCGTGCAGGTGTGTAGCATGACTTTGAGATGTCCCTTGGCATCTGTTATTTGCGCTCATGCCGACCTTTGCTTTATAGACCAAGCTCGATCGGTTGGCTCCTGTTAGTCATGAAAACAAGAAATGTTCATTTTCGTTTTGCTCTCTCATTCCCCTCCTCTTGATGATCTTGACTGTTTTTCGTTTCCTTGCTGGCTCTGCTCGCTTTTCCTTTCTCGCGCAAGTTTTCTTATGAGCTTTCGACGACCCTGTTTTCTGCCTGAACCAATGGAGTATTGAACAACAAATTTGAGAGCACGGGTCAGGAATCATGTTCATACGCTGTTTAGGTTCAATTATAAATTCATATGCGTTTGAGCCCAGAGGGAATGACGAGCAAATGTACAAATTCAGGCATGCCACTTGTCCCGGTTGGGAGATACTAGCTATATTTCCTTTTTGTTTCTCTCTCTCTCACCGGCTAACATGATACGAAGGGCAGACAGAAAAGCTAAAGCTAAATGCAAAGGGCTAAACGGAACTTGGTATCTAAAATCTAGCGTGATAGTAAAACGGCACAAGAGGCCTGACGGGTTGACGTTTGACTCAAAGCTTGGTCGTGTTGGATCGCGTCTTGGGCGCAGATATGGGGCGCCGGGGCAAGTTGCCTTTGGTGTGAGGCAACGTGGGAGAGCTCGCCGGGCTGGGGGCGGTGCTAGCTTGCGTGCTTGATGCTCTTGTAGAGGGTACACTGTGCTTACCCTCGGCTACGGATGACACGCGGCGGACGGCCGTGGGGGCAATCGCACGAAGGGGGCTTTGCAAAGCTGGTCGTTGAGCAGGATATTTGGGTCCCACACTCGAGGCTCGAACGCGCTGAACGTGTGCTGCGCGGCGAACTTGAGCAAAGCGGGCCAAAGGGTCGGATGAAGTTGGCGAAACCACAATCGGTGTACCGGCTGGTTGCTGCAGAGCCAGTTTGGAGCTGGGCTGCAGTCGTCGGCAACCACTTGGATCCGCGGCCGAGGGCATCGAGGTTGCGTCGACGCTCACTTGGCGTGGTTCCGGGGCAGATTCGGCACGGTCGCGCGAGTAGGATTTGGAAAAGACGGTCGTGATCGGGCTGGGCAGGAAGTCCTTGGCGTTGCTGTGGAAGGTGATGTTAACGGCGTCGGGCGGCGGCACCTCAGGCGGACCCGGGCTCGGGGTCAAGACTTCACTGGCGGTGGCAAGCGGTGATGGCAGCTCAACAGAGGTTTGGTCGCCGATAGGGAGGGACGTGTGCGTGGCGACGTCGGGCATGGAGCTTCGGTATGCACGGGTTGCAAAGGTGGCTGGGTCCGAATTGCCGGCACCACCAAAGTCTTCGACACTGAGTGGAGCGGTATCGGTGCCCAGACTTGGCATTGAGTTGCGGGCTGGCAAGCGGGCCTCTTCGACAAGGGCTTTGGATGCGCCAGCAAAAAGACCAAGCCCCCGGCGATGGGTGGCTACTGGGCCGGAAGAGGGCGAGGGAGAGCGATGGGTGGCGTGATGCAAGGGCGATGACATGGCTCGGGCACGGTTGCCAGGTTCACGAGCGGCGGCAAGGTCGGGGGCGGTTGTGGGGTCACGGGGGTTGGAGAGGCTTGGGCCGCTCTCGGCTTCACTCTCAAACTGCGATGCGGTTCGGGAAGGGGCGCCACTGGGGCGCCGGTGTTGGTGGATATCGTCTTGCTCGTCCTCTCGGTTGGCACAGGCGCCGGCACCAATACTGTGGTAGCAGATGCGGGAGGCACGGCGGCGAGTACTGTGGCTGTTGTTGGTAGGTTCGGACTTGTCAAAAGCGAGGCTGCTATAGTCCGAGTCGGCGGGCCGGTTGCCTGGGAGGGTGAGGGTGCGAAGCATGTGGTGAAGACGGGCGTTTTCGTCCTCGAGAACGAGGCGTTGGTTGTGCTCGTTGCGCCAGAGCTGTTGGAGTTCAGCGCAGTGATGTTTCAAAGCGCGCTTGCGTGTGACGGCTGTTTGGCGGCGTTCGTACTCGCGCTTGTGCAGGACGGCGAGTTCGTACACGAGTTGCTTAAGCTGACCAACGTCATCTGGGAGACCGGCGTTGATGTTGATTAGGCCTCGAAAGGGAGATAGGTCGTCGCTCTCTGCGGTTTGAGTGGAAATGGTGGGGCTGTGTTGAAGCCCAGAGCGGGATTCGGGCTGAGATGGCCTGTCGGGGAGAATGGGAGACTCTGGACTCTGGCGGTCGGCTGAACGCTGGTGACGAGGAGTGTGCGAAGACTGGTGGGGGCTGGATGCTTCA